AATGCCATGGTGTAGACAATTACTTGACTGTCAGCAAGTGCTTTAACAAAAGGCTGTCACTAAGAAATGCCTATGACAGGCCTTGAAATTGTAAGATAAAAGAGAAGAGAGTGGAATCACAGTTAGCGTTCAACACAGCCATGCAGGCTGCCATCTTCTCTTTTCTGAGGTTAGCTTCATAGTTAGGATTTTTAGAAGATAGAACTTTAAAAAATAAAGCTGCTTGTAAATTTAAAGGAGCAGGAAAAAAAACCAAAAACATGACTGTCAAGTAGCAGTCCATGTTGCAGGTGGTGGCCCTCTGAAACAGAAGCAGTCCGTATCAGTCCCTGACTGGAGAAGTCCTTTGCTCAGCAGAACGTGGAAGCTGTTTCAGAATTCCTTCAGTATTCACGGCATCATGAAGGTTGGGAGCGTCCTTTGGAGATCATCTAGTCCGACCCCCTGCACATGCTGTTGAAAGAATTTTCCTGGCACAGCGAAGATTTATTTTTCATTTAGAATTTACAGATGTGATGTGATTTATATTCTCAAGACCTCTCAATAATATTGCCGTTTTTCACTGAAAAGCATATATAATTCTGTCCAGAATACTTTTTACTTTTGAGCAGCCAGAATGCAGCTTGGAGGATGACATGAAATTTTGGTGTGCTATATCTACAAGTGACAACATGCAGAACACCTTTCCCTAGGTTGACAATTGACGTGTAAAAAAGAATGATCTTTGTTATCATTTCCTTATGCCGTACCAGAAAAGTAGCCATCTGTTTTGATTAATGTTTTTTCCTAGTTTTTCCCTGCGTCTAAGACACATTTATACAGGGTGGCATCAATTCTTCTTCGTACGCATAAATTCATAGTTGACTAGAGCAATTCGGAGCTTTATCAATTTAGAGGAAATGGACATTATAGAATCATGGGCATTTAGATAATTCTATTATAAATAAAACTTTTTTGTGATTTTTCTAGATAGGCAAGTTTCCCACTATTTTTTATTTGCCAGGAATCTTCCCTAGCAGAGTGTAAGCAGTCAAAATTTTCTAAGAGGTTTTATAATTTCAGGAAAGATTTATTAATTTAAATGTGTGTTCTAGCTGTCAGTGAAAAGTTTTAGCCTGGGAGTTTCGAGTTTCAGATAAACAATGTTGGCTGAAGAGAGTTTCTCATTAGGGGATTTACTTCTGTTAAATCACAGAAAGTCAGATTATTTGCTTTATTTTTTTCTCCTACTTAAAGCTGCAACCATTGCTATCAATATCAAAACAAAGATCCCTTCAGTGAATAGGATGCCTGTGGTAACATTATGTAAGGTTTTAGTTGTGTGTCCTGTATCAAAGGTGTTATTTCTATTGAAGTCGATGTAAGATGTGCCCAGGACTTTGCTGGCAGAATTGGGTCTCACATTCTCAGCATTTCTCCAGATAGTGCTACCTCAAACCAGCATGTTTTATGTATCACGTCAGATACTTTAGCTCATCTGTTTCAGTGTGACAGAGAGATAAAAACAGAATTTCTCTGTAACAAGATTAAGGTAAGATCATTCTTCTGTCTTGTTTTTAGAAAGCAAGATTAAAAGTTATTACTGACATAGTTCTTCATTTTATAGTTCATTTCCTTTCAAAAAATTCTCAGTGATTTCAGAAAATAGTCCTAGTTTTTCATTTACAGCAAGGCCCATGAATAAGAGGGACAGATTTGCTTTTACCTGATAACTGGCACTTCCAGCTTGGAAAAGCCGACGCTGCCCAGGCGGCGGAGCTGGGGGTCCCGCGAGCACCTGACGCTGGTCACAGACTGTGGCCAGGAGACAAAATGAGAGGGGGCCACAGGGCGAGTCTGGGATAGACGAAGAAGGGTCTCAAATCATCAGTCTTTTTTTTTTTTTTTCTTCTTTTTTTGGTTGTTGCTTTTGACCATCAATAGTTGCTAAAAATGAATACTGATCCCTATCAACTGCCCTCTTCATAACTGCGTAAGAAGATTTTGTCAGTAATGACCAGGTTGCTAGCAGGAAATTTAGGCATTCAAAACAAAACATTAGAATATTTTGGGGATATTAAATTTGTCTAGACATTCTAAATTTGTTTAAAATGTCTCTTTTTTTTCATTTTTTATTTCTTTGACTTTTTAAATTCCTTTTTTAATTCTTTCTTCCAAATCCTGTAATGGACTCCAATAGTGACATTTTCTCCTCGCATTTGGTCAGCTGCCTTCCACTGGCTTCAGAAAAGTCCTATAAACTGTAGTGAATGTTTGCTGTAACTCTATCTTTGGACATCCAGGACTGATTTTTTTTTTTAAAGACTAAGTCACAGCTATAGGTAAATAATTAAAAATGTGCACTCAGTGTTGACAGTGAAGTGAATCCTGGTATTTAAAGTCATAGATGTCGCATAGATGATATACAATGTGCTGATTTCTCCAGGGCCCTGTAGAATTTGGGGATGGGTCAGGCAGGAGGCTTAGGCTGGATTTCTGAGTGGAAGTATCTCTGTATCATAGGAATGGCTGAGTGGATGAAGCGATTTGTTGGCTACCTGGGAAAACAAAATGCTGAAACCATTCTGTGCAGCCTGGGACAAACCACTTACTCTCTGTTTATCTCATTTTCCTATGGAATAGTGAATGCTAGAAATAAATGGCAATGTTAAATGAGAATAATAATGTTTCCTACATGGTATAATTTGAAATCTGGGACTGAAAAGTGCTAAGTGAGACTATAGCAATGTTGGCAGTATATAAACTGCAGAATAGCTAAATTTTGATGTAGCAAAGTTAAAATGTAAGAATAGATACTGAATTTCTTTCTTTTTTGGATAATAACCATATGATGAGAAAGAGAAAGATACAATTCTGTGTGCTGAAAATATATTATTTGAATTCAACGTTAAATAATCATGCAGAATATCTCTATTTCTTCTAATCCTAACAGCAAAAAACAGAGAAATGTTTCTAATGAGGTGATGGGAATGGTGTCAAAACATACAAAGTAAATAGGTTTTTTAATTGCTTAGCTCCCATGCAGATAAAGCTGGAAAAAAAAAGGAGTTAGTACTGAAGTAAAGAAATGAGTACATATTTTAGGCAATGAACACTATATCACAAATTTTTTGTGTTTTAGCTAGAAGAACCACACCCCTTTTGGAATATATTAAAAATAGAAAATTAGAAAAGCAGGTACGTTCAGACTTTTGCCTGAAGTTCAACTTTTATGTTTCTTATGTAGTTTTCCTTTGAACAATTTACAATCAATCATTTTGAACTCTTCAGAGAATACGAGAAGAGAAAAGAGAAGAACGAAGGCGGAGGGAACTGGAAAAGAAACGTCTGCGAGAGGAGGAGAAAAGGAAACGCAGAGAGGAAGAAAGACGTAAAAGGAAAGAAGCAGAGAAGCAAAAGAAAATCTCTGAAAAAGAAATAAGGATTAAGGTACATTGCTGAAAAACTTTAACTTATTCAGAAATTCTTTTGGTTTCTCAGTAATCTTGTTTATGGAGTGTACTACCTGCAGCAAGGAGGTAGGACGCCAGTTTTCACTGGAAGCAAAATGAATTAGCTTGTTTGTGATGTGTGGCTGCCTTCCTTAGGTACAGCTGTGTGCTAGCGACACGTAGCTCAGCAGTTGCACAGCTCTGCCACGCTTTGTGCAGGCATAACTTGGCAGAACCAAATTGTTCTGTTCTAACCCATGCCCAAGCATTATTGCAAATACAGCTGTAGCATTTTATGTTCCATGTTAATCTTCATTTAGCCGTATTTGCCGAGATTTTTCATGTTTATACTCAGAATTAATTGATTTTAATTGTATGCTTTAGCTGAGTCCTGCTAATCTCAAGCTGTGCTGCAGTTCATATTGCAAAACCATCTGAATGGGCTTGTTTACAATGACTTTACTTAAGCATAAAGCATTTTGGGCTAATAAGACATGACATTTTAAACCTTTTTTAAGTAAGGCAACATAGATAAATTCTATTCATGTAAGCTAGATTTTGTGATACTAGAGAGGTTTTGTAGGCTGATTTGAAGATTTATATTGCTATAAAAGTCTGTGGCTTATTGGAAGGATGTGCTCAGATTCACTCCAGATTTTTGGTGGGGAGAAGACACAGAACTATGTAGCACCTTTCCCTGTTTTATTTTCCTGGGCAACAGGTACCTTCGCCTGGATGTATAAAAGAGTAAGTTCTCAAGCAGATTTTTTTTTTTTTGTGGGGGGAAGGTATAAAGAAAAACATTCTGTAACTTTAGAAGACAAGGAAGATGTGTTTTAAAGTAACCTTCCTTCTTCTAAAATAACTTTCTAATTATTATACATTCAAATATATTCATAGAATTTAAATAAGACCATGGTCTTCGGTCTTAATAGGGCAGAAATGTATTTAAGACATTGTTAAGATGTCTGTTGCAATGGGGGGAGAATCATTTTACATTACATTACATTTTTTTAGCTTCTTAAGAAGCCTGAAAAAGGAGATGAGCAGGCTAGTGAAAAGCACAAAGAAAAGGGTGAAGAAGATGACATTGAAGAAAGCAAATGGGAAAAGTCATCTGGATCTGGGAGTACAAAATCCAAAGCATTGGAGGGTTCACTAAAAGAACTCAAGGAAAAGTAAGTGGTATTTTAGGCACCAAGTTATATCCTAAATGCTGTGATTTTAAGGCTTAAACATGATGTAAGTGGTGCATTGGCCTGGTGTCTGTCAGCACAAAACCGATATCATTCCATGTTTGTACAACAAACTGTCTTTCACTGTCGTTTTTTGTAAAAGGTGTTTAGTGAACTTACTGACCTGATGGCAGTATTAATGCTTTGAAATCCCAGATTGGAAAGATTTCTGTGTGAAAAGTCATTCAGAGTTTCATTGTTGTTTCACCTGTTCCCCATCAAGAACTCAGGTAAGGCCGTCCTTCCATCCTTGATGTTAAACTCTAGAAATATTGCCTCGGATGTCCTACCATGCCATCACATTTTCTTCATTTTTTTCCCCTGAAATAAACAGATGAATGTGTTTGATGAATGGGAATGGCAGAATAACTAAGGTGTGAATCCCAACCTTATGTGTAGAAAGATCTTTCTGACTCTCACTGTCTTCTGTGTTGTATTTGTAATAGCAGGAGCAGCTGAATAGTTCACTTCTATGGCATACAATAGCCTAGAAATGTCTTACAAAGGTTTTCTGCATCTCGTTTTCTCTGGTGTTCTTTGGCATGTATGTCTCACTGCAAGCTGGACACGGATTCACCCATAGGATAAGTAAGAGAAGTTCTAGACCGTTTTCTAGGAGACTTGCAAGCTACTTGCCTGCTCTGAGTAGTATAAACATTACCCTTTCCACATAGGATCATGATTTTTACAAAGAGAATGCAGAAGCTGCACCTGTAACTGTCCCATTCAGGTTTTTAGGCTACATCCTCTTTGGAGATGCAGAACAAGATTTGGTCTCTTAATGGCTAATAGAAAAGTGAAGAAAATTTGAACCCTGAATGGAACATAAAAACATTGAATATACTCATGGAAGAAATAATTCACCAATAGTATCCCCCTCATATACGTATATTTTTTTCTTTTTTCTCTGTGGCTAAAGATTTCAAAAATACACTCAGTGTTCCAGTGTGCTGAGTATGTCCTGAAAGATGCTGGAAATTTACATTTCCTAGTCTCTGTTGGAAATCGAAAATATTCAGCAACTCTTTTGTTGATATTCTTCAATTTTTTTTCAGAGACAAGTCAGTTGTTTACTAATAAGGCTTTTTATGTATGAATCCTTTGGTGCTGTCATGTAACATTTTACATTTTCAGTATTCATTCTGTAAGTTTCATAAAGCCTTAACATAGATTTTCCAGGTGTAAAAGAGAATCCTTTTGGCTGTGCGGGTACACTAAATGTTACCTTGTCTTCCCAAGTGCTCACCATGATTATCGAGGTGGGGAGGTGATTAGATACCAAGCTATGAGCTGTATGAGCTTAGCTGAGGATCAGAGCTGTAACTTCTTTGTCACTGGCTCAAAAATCAGTATTAAATATAACTTCCAGCTCTACATGTAGGAGCCTGGATTGCCTGTTTGAAAGTGTGTTTTAAAGTTCAGCACACATAGGTTTCTACCACAGATACCAACCTCAGTATGTGCACGAGTGTCCACGGTCCCATATGAATTTGAAATTACACCAAGCACAATTATGTTCCCTTTGTTCCATTCATTTTCAGATTTCTCTTTTCCCTTGTGACTTCCTTCTCTCACCTCTGATTTGTAACTGTGTTGGGTTTGTCGCACCATTTTTACCTCAGGTGTTGACCATGGGGACTTTGCTCCCACTTGGGGAGTGTGTTGGGCTGACACGAGCCCGGCCTTCCAAAATGCTGAACTTGTTACCCACCATCCTGAGTTTCTTTGCTGCCCCCAGCTCCTTCTGAGATGTGGCCCCTGTCTTGGCAGCCCCACCAATGCCCAGGTTCACAGCAGTGGCTGACAATTTTCATAATTCTGTTATTTACAAGAGAAAAAAGAAAAAAAGTGGTGTAGAAAGATAAGTGAGTATTCATATTAGACCAGCATAAATGGCACGCACATATCACTACTTGATTACTTCACCTTTAGAAAATCTTCACCCTCTCTCATTTTGTCTGCTGATTCTCAAAATCTGAGCAGACTGTCAAAATATTTCCTGTTTCAATTTTAAGTAGGCCTATATACATGATAAATGAAAAGAAACACAGGGTATTTGCTACTTTTAAAATTTAATCATTCTGTTATCTTCTTTCATTATTTGCAGTTTTTCTTTGTGAGAGAATTACCTGTTTCTCGAACAGGAACAGTGAAATCAGAGGGATAGTTGTGAATTTTATCAGCCTAGCAGCAAAATGTTGCAAAATAATAGCCTAATTCATTCTCACTGCAGCATAACATAAATTAAGTACTGTGTTGTGATAAGCTAATGGTCTTTACCTCAGTAAAATATGCAAAGATAGGCTGCACTATATCGAGACATAGCAAATAGAAGCCTAAAACAGAAATATTCATTTTCACAAATGCTTTTCCCAGGTTACAAGGGCTGTGAATCTTTTTTTATTTATCTGAATAATCATAAGACTTCACAAATGGAAACATGACATGAGCACTACTACTTTGGACTGTGAATGTTCCCATTCCCAGAGTCCTGTGCACACGTCTGCTCAAGAACAGGTCATAAAACCTGATCCCACAGCCTGTGTTGGTGTGAGGAGCGCTCAGGAACTCTGTATCGGGTGGCAAATTGGGATGAAAGTCCCAATGAACAGGTCTTTTACAGTCATTGCCCCAAATCAAGAAGATTTTCCTTACATGGCTTTATTTGTTACTTTTTAAACTGGACATATATGGATGAGATGCTCAACAAAATTGCATAACCCCATTTTAGAGTTCAACAAAGTGTTGTTGAAGCCGAAGGCAGGCTTGTGTCCTTCAGGGGGTTATTTCATGTTAATTGCTTGGATTTTTTGTTTTTATGCATATTCATAGGTCACAAAATGATAGTGACAAAGAGCAAAGAGATTTGGAGAGAAGATTTCGAGAAAAAGACCCAGAAAGGCCAAGGTATCGACTGGACGATGGCAGAAAGCACAGAGCTCACTATGAGTATGACAAGTTTGTGAGAAGGAGTGAAGACGAGCTGAAATGGGGGAAAGGATACAGCCAAGACAGAGGAAAGAAAGGGACCCACAGCTACAGCTTCACTGTGGAGACAGTAGACAAACTGGGTAAAGAGGACAAGTGTGATGACATGGCATCCAAAAAGGAGCGCATAAGAAATAAGGTTCTTTTATTCATTTAGGATAATCTTTCATTAGTAAAATATGCTTCAAGATCACAGGTTTTACTTTTGCAATGTCAGCGTAAAGATGCTTTTCCAAATAAATCTTTCTTTACTTGCTTTCCAGGAAAACCCAAGCTTCTATTTATTGTTGTCGGAGGACAACAGCAGTTAAAATAAGGTCACAGATCCCTGCTCATTTGTATTTATAATATATGGCATAATTTCTGCATAGCTTTCAACCCGAGCATTATTAGAACACTATTCTTGGGAGCCTCGTGTTTTTTGAGTTTATAAAAATTGTTGCACCCTGATCTGCAATGAAATTTAAAAGCAGTGGCATGCTAGCCTTTTAAAAGTGAATTTCCATCACCCAGCACACAAGTAATGAGATTAAGGACTGGGCAGGCACTGCTCAATAGAGGGAGCAGGGCAAGTGGGACAGCCAGGGGATGGGTACGGAGCCGGAGCCGCCGCTCAGCGTCTCCCACGGACGCGGGCATCGTTTTTCACAGATGCTCTGATTTCATGGATGCGCCAGAGTCTTTTCAGGAGACGGCTGCTCTTGTCAACCTCATTCTCTCTCCATTCTCTTCTTAGGTTTCCCACAAAAGATGCCTGAAACACTGTTTTGTGTAGAAAATTATGCTGCATGTGAAACTTTTCCATCAAACCACAATCCTGATCTGTGCTGGGGAGTAGAGGTGACAGTGAGTAAATGGCTCCTGGGCAACAGGGCTCCATAGGGAGCATCCAGGGAGCAAGTCCAGGTGGATTCAGTGCGCATGAGAGGTGAAAGTCACCCTGGCCAGAGCCCAGCCCGCTCTCCACGTGTAGATGCGTATGGGCCATGTGTGTGACATTTATCTGCCTATACAAAATAGCTGCTCTCCACATGTCCCAGCAGCTCAGGCTGTCACCTAGTCAGAAGAAGAAGAAGAAAAAAAGACTATTTTAAAACCAGGAATATGGGAAAAACAGCTTTTCTCATGCTTGTCGTGCTGCTCTTGAGATCTGATAGAACATCTATGACATTGGTATTGGTGGTGGCTCCTGGTGGCCTTTTGAAACTTAAGGTCAGGCCTTAAGAAGCCTGGCTGAGTTTCTGCATTAGTCCACACACACTGTAAGTTCTAGATCTGTTCCATAAACAAAATTTGCAATAGCAGAAAAGATTTTTGCAGTTTTGTGATTGCTCTACTTGAAATATGTATCACGTAGCTGTGAGTTAAGGACTCTCTTGCCTGTAGAAATACCAATGTCAGCTGAAGTTTCTGGATGAAACAGAAACATGCTTCGTTTCAGAACTGTGCACGACTTAATTAGAAAATGCAAAATTCGTTACTTCTAGGGGAAGTAACAATTACATGTCAAGTATAGAATCTGTAATTTAACTATGTATATATAAAAAAGATGGATGCTCATTAGAGGATCTAGCTGTACGTGGCTAGCATTCACTGGCTGTTTGTGGTGTAGAAAGATGTATGTCATGCTGATGCAAGCCATCAAAAAAAGTAACAAAAGTTTTTTAAAAAACAGCAGGAGCAAAACACTAATGGGAAGTATCTTCTCTAAGGAAATGGAGAATTGAGTGGGGCAAAAAAGAGAACTTTAAGATGAAGCAAGAGAGAAAGAGAGAAAAGGTGTGTTGAGGGATTAAAAAAAAGAAAATAAAGAGAAAAGAGAAAGAATAAGAGATCAGAATCACTTCAAATTATGAAGATACCTGGAAATCTTCTAGTTTGATATGGAGCGATTTCAGCACTGTGTCATTGTCACAGGCTGGTAATTTTGTTTTCTAAACCTAGCCTTGGCTCAGAAAGCTTTGACGCTGCTGAATGGGTTGCTTCGTGCGTTAAAAGCTGATATTTTTGAGAGTAAAAATAAACAAACTGACTAGGAAAAGCCTTTTCGGGCAGAATTTCTAAATGCTTTCTTGAAATTTAAAAAATAAAAAGCAGACTGTAGAGCTACGAAACATCTCCATTTGCAACTTCTAGGTTTCTCTTCCTTGTAAACTCTCTCCTTCGGTTATCTAACTGTACTTTGTTTATTATCAGTGTGTGGATCTCCTGCATTCACACACAGGAATATGGAAGACATGATGAAGCTGGGCTATAACTGCAATTTGATTTTGATACGGATAATTAGACAGTGCCTTCTATGTTTAAACTGTGTGAATCCCATGAAGTAGCACATACTTGAAGTAGCACACACATGGATAAGGAAAATTCAATTGAGGCTAATTTTCTAGCTATTATCTGCTAAACTTTTCCCTGGCTTGGGTTTTCTTTTTATGCTCATATTTACTGTTTGTCATTTGTCTGCACAGTTGCAAGTGCAAGGATGTTGTTCTTTCCAGTTGACGTTAGTGAAGGTAGCAACGCTGTTTATCTGGGTGCACACCATAATACTGTGTTTGACAATCATCTCTAGTATTTTTCCTTGTTTGGATTAAATTTACCAAAGGTTTTTAATGTTTACAGCTTTATTCATTTATTTAAAATGCCTGGCTCCCAAGAATAGTTACAAACAACACAGACATTAAGTACTTAGTCAGTTTTCATTGCACTTAATTTTTCACCAGGTCTTACGAAACATAAAGCAATGTAACACAAAATTGCTTTCTCCAGAAGCTTACATTAATCGCTTTAAAATCCAAAGGAGTTTTCCCACCCACACTTCGTGTGAGGTTAACCATGCCTGCTTCCTCGTAGGATCGCCCGGCCATGCAGCTGTACCAGCCAGGAGCTCGCACCCGAACGCATGCGGGAGCTACAAGTAGAACGTGCGACTGCACTGGGAAGGCCTTGGAGGATGCCCTGGACAAGAAGAACGAGGCTGATAATTCAGCTGGAGGTGGCTCTGAGAAGAGTGAGGAGGCAGAATAAAACAAACGGCACCTGTATACACTGGACTTGTGAATAGGGATGGACTTAAGATTTAACTTTGCCACAAAAATCCATAAGCTGCTTCAGAGCTCCACAGATTGCACCAATGGAATTATAGTACCTGTCTGTAACTTCTGTAAAGTAAAGGAAACAGACTGGAGACATATGAAGTATCTTATAGGAAAGGGACACAGTTGCTTTTTTACCAGAAGCAGAACGAACGCTGTTTACCCAATTTAAAAGCAGTCCAACATTTTGTTAGACTTCCCTTGAAGTAGAAAACCTAACAGTTTTAAAGGAGTATCTATAGAAGACTTTTCTGAACACCTTCCAAGTCTCTTAAAATGAGAACAGAAATGCAATGAAATGTATGTTTGCGTCAGCTTGAAGTGAGCGTGAGGCCCTCGGCCTGTGCTCCGTGCGCGGAGCCGGCACCGGGGAGCCTCCTGCGAGCGGCGCGTGCGGCGTCGGGCCCAGCGCGGCCGTGGGGAAGGGCCGCTGGGACCTGCCCCTCGTCGTGCTCGCATCGCTTCCCGCTCCTGCAGCATCAGACACGTGTGGCTCAGCCTGCGAGGGTGTCGCCACGGGCTGTCGCTTCCTGAGCCACTTTTGCCTTTTATGTTATAGTAGATTCGTACGTGTGAAACGGAAGGAAGTGATTGCAAACCTCAGCACTTAAGCACACTCTCCGGTTTTGTTAAGTTAGTTGATTTATATGTTTTTGACACTAACTTTTGAAAAGAAGTGGTTGTACAGTAATGACTTTTTGTACCTTAATGTTTCATATAAGCTGCAATTGCAGGATTTGGAAAATGTACGGTAAGTGGAAGTTCCGGGGTCTAGTTTGTTTAAAAATCAACACACCAATGGCAACTCCATTTTGTAGATCTGAGCCAAATTCTGCCCTCTGGTGCAGGGATGTATGTATATAGTTACCGCTGGTTTCAAGGATAGCAGCACATTTACTGCAGGGCAAAACATGTCTATTTGTCTTTTGTGGCTGAGACTTTCTCAGTTGCCTGAGACTGAGATTTGCTTTGTCAGTGAAATTAAATGGTAAGATATTAATTTATTTTTTACATCCTCTTCAAACATTTTGTTATTAAGCATAACATCTAATTGTTCTAAACTGAGAAAAAAATATTTATTGTATTTTCCCAGATGTTAAACATTAAATGGAATAAAAGCAAAAAGATTTTGACTATGATTTTGAGACATGATCTTCAACAATTTTTTTTCATCTAGGACTCTTGAAAAATTAAATAAAATGCTAAGCCATTTGCTATTTTGAAGAGGTAGGAAGGACTTACCAGGAAAGTTCTCCCGCCCTGTGGTGTGGCCAGGCTGGGCAGGGATCCTTGCAGATCGGGTCAGATACTCCTAGCCTGTTCTAACGCCGGCGCGAAGCCTGGCAGCTCGCGCGGGGGTTGCGCGTGTGGCGACGCGAGCGCAGGGTATGTCCCCTGGCCAGGCTGGGCAGGTGTCCTTGCAGATCGGGTCAGATCCTCCTAGCCTGTTCTAACGCCGGCGCGAAGCCTGGCAGCTCGCGCGGGGGTTGCGCGTGTGGCGACGCGAGCGCAGGGTATGTCCCCGTGGCGGGAAGGGCCTCGCGCTGCGGCCCCGGAGCCCGGAGCGCGGCCCGGAGCGCGGAGCCGGGAGCTGCTGGGGAGA